TAGGCCCTAGATCTAGCAAATAATCTAATACTATTTGACGATTTGTTAGGCCTATATCAGACTATGACTAGATCTATAACTAGATCTAGATTCTATATCTTATTAATATCTATCTACAGTTTATAACTTAGACTTAGTGTGTTCGTGTATACTGTACTTAGTTACTTAGTGTACTATTAATAATTAATATTAATTAGTACTAGATCTAAGTACTAAGTTAGTGCACTACACTAGAGTAGAATCTAATTATTAAAGTTCTTTAATTCTTTAGACTTGGTCACTTGACTTTACGACGTCTTCTTTAGTAAAGAATCTTTAGTTCTTTACTCTTCTTTAAAAAAATCTTTAGAGTTTAGAACTTTAAACTGACTACGGTCCCTACACTAAATATACTAAATAAATAAATGACTAAAACTAAATCTAACGAGTAGGTTGTATTCTAAATAAAATTCTAGATCTAGAATTTAGATTCTTTATTAAAATCTGAAAAGTTGAAAAGTCAATTCTTTATCTAGAAAGATCTAGAATCTAGATTAGATTCTAGATCTATCTCGAATTCTAGATCTAAATTCATAAAATTCTGATTCTAAAACTTGTATTTGTTTTGAAGCCAAAAGCGAAAGTAGCTTTCCTAACTTTAAAAAAAAAAGATTTAATAAAAATATCCAGATTTGGTTTAAAAAAACGCCAACTGGCAGGACTCCATTTGGACTCCACTTCAACAGCCTATTGTTTTTCATCTTGCAACTCTTTTGTATTACAAATTTTAAAGTACTTGAAAAAATTCATAACATAAAAAATAGAATTTTTTAAAAATAAAAAGCTTTTATATAACTATGCACTAAAATCATTTTCCTTAAGTATTGAATAGTACACTACTATTTAAAGAACTATAAAGAAAAACATGGGTCTCTTCTTAAATTTTAGTAAAGGTATCCAAAAGATAATATAGTGACCAACCCTTTTCTTTACAGTTATTTAAACAATAGTGCATAGATACATATTTAAATAAAATAATTTATTCTCTCCTTTTTAGTGCATTATCACATAAACGCTTGTTATTAAAATGTTTATAATGATTATTTTTAGTACCGAAGATGAGGTGTAATGAGTATGACAAGTGTTTGATTAAGCGATAAATACGTAGTAAATTATCAAATCAGGATTAGTGAAGGGAAATTGGATGTACTGAATTGAGTTTTATCGGGAGGTTAATGTGTGTCATCCGTAGCGGTGGTGGGTATTAATTGTTACAAGTGGGGAAAAAAATTATCACAAATGTACTGCCAAATTCAGCAGTAACAAACAATTGTGTTTTAAATTATCATTACACTAAGCAATCAAAAAATTAAATGTTTCATAAATAAATTACAATTAAATAATAATACTAATTTCTGTAGTTTGTAATCACTGTATAAAATATTCGATAAACATATATATACAATAAAAATGAATAATAGTGTATAATCTGATTGCCATTTCTGTGTTTTATATTTTTAGAAATTTTCTACATTTTAGGATTTGTAGAAACTTTTATTAGGGTTCTCGCCCTTAGTAATTTAAATTCATATGATCGAAAAAGCTAACAATAAAACTTTTATACTCAAATTACAAAATAAAGAAACGTTTTCTTTAGATATTGTGGTAAAGATAAATACTTTAATCGCTAAGTATACCGCACAGATTTCTCTAACGATCAATGCGTTTGTGTGCTTGGACGGTGGAGAGTATGACTACGCTACTTTTTTTTTTACAAAAGTGTTTTTTGTTGTTTATCTGTATACATTAGTAATCCAAATCCAATTCAATCCAAATCTTGAAGCGAGGCCTAAGGGGTCGTCCATAAATGACGTCACACCAGAGTTTCTTCCAGGCATCTCTTCGGGGGGGGGGGCTTATCCCCCCTACCCCCCGAAGAAAGTCTACCGCACCCCCCCCCGAACGAAATGAAATTATATAGAAAATATATACTTTTAACAGTGTCTGCTCCCCCCCCCCCCCCCGAAAATTTCAAGTGCCCCCCCCCCGGAGAAAAAAGTCTGGAAGAAACACTGCGTCACACTCGTAGGGGGTAGGGGGGTCCTTAATTTTGTGACGGTGTGTGATGAGGGGGAGGGGGGGGGGGGTCAGATGTTGCGACGTCACACTTTTTGCAGTATAAAAATGCAATGTTAGAAAACGAATTTTAGACGTTATTTCGCGTTTTAGAAGACAGTTTTAATAAATTGTAATAGGAACTGATTAAAATACTCTTTTGACAGAGTTCAGACAAGATTTTGGAAAAATATCGACGTTTAAAAAAAATTTGACTGCAATTTCGAGGGGGGTTTTAGGCTGACGTGTGTCGTCATTTTAGGGGGGGGGGGGGGGGGTCTGGCTATTGTCACGATGTGTGATTGAGGGAAGGGGGGAGGTAAAAATCATTTTTAAAAAAGCGCGACGTCATTTATGGATGACCCCTAATAACACTTATCCGCCGTGTTTTTTTTTTTTTTTTTTTTTGTTAACAATAGAAATCATGTTCACTACAATTTAAGTTCAAAATATATATAACTCTCTTTAGATAACGAGGTTTCGATTGTTAAGCGAGAGAGACCGAGACTTACAAACCCTATTACAACCATGTTTACCCCCCCTCTATCACCTTACAGGTCCATGCCACCTTCTGCTATCCGGGAACAGAGATGATCTCCCATCAGGTGGCGCTGCAGAAAAAAACCGCTTTCAAGACATGATGGTGTCCCTTGAGAAGACCAAAAACACTCGCAAGAAAACACAGTCAACGGTCCAGGTTCGGGTACCGCCTATGCCACACCTCCGACGAACAGTTCATAGAATTAGACCAAGGCCTAGAACGATTCTATGGGCCTAATATATGAATCAAATGACACAATATAGATATTTTTGTCAAAGCCTGTTTCTTACTAATAATCTTTACATATTTATTAAAATTATATTCATATTTTAAAAATATATAAAAACATTTACTAACGTATCTCTTTATTTCTTTTTTATTAAATTCATCGTGTTTGATTTCTTTTTCTAGAGAAACATGTATTGGCTCGTATACAGGTAAAAAATGTAATGACTTCAGAAATGTCGTAATGCCGACGTTTCATCATATTTAAAACAAAAGAAAGAAAAAATACCATTTTAATTATTTTTGGTATTTTTATAAAGTGCTAAATTTAATCAGACCGAAGTTTTATATCCGTTATTTCATCCTTATGTTTAGATTTGAGAGAAATAAAGATTCTTTTTAATCACATTGCCCCGATTAAGTTGTTGAGGCCAGGGGCGTAGCGAGGGGGGGGGGGGGTGTCGGGGGGTGCGGACCGCACCGGGTGACACCATTTAGGGGGTCGACACCAAGGCAAAAAATAGCAAAATATATAGAGAAAAACTTGAGGGGGGGTGCAAATCGAAAGTTTGAGGGGGGGGGGGGGGTGCAAATCGAAAGTTTGAGGGGGGGGGGGTGCGAATCGAAAACTTGCAAGTTTGTCCCCGGGAAGGGTCGCTACGCCTCTGGGGGGGGGGGGGGGGGGTGATACCATTAAGTGCCGCACCGGGTGACACCCGACCACGCTACGCCACTGGTTGAGGCTCAATATTAATTAGTACAAGAAAACGTAAAGTATTAATTAGTACAAGAAAACGTAAAGTATTAATTAAGATGTTGAAGACATAATTTTGGAAATAGCGAGAGAGTCTTGTATATATAATACTCCTACAGTCGCTTTTTATTCGCAATATAAAATACTTTACTTAGAAATTGTTTGTACACTTCAGTGATATCATATCAACTTTTCTGTTTATGCAAAGGACTTCTCTTTGAGTATAGTATAGGTAGGTATTAATTTTTTTTTTACACAGTGTTCGTAGATCAACGTTAAAACAAAACGATGACTCATGGTTTCATTGTAACTTATTTGATGTACTCTTTAATGTACCTAATTAACACGTTTAGTGTATGGATCAACACCCTAATATATAAAGAGAAAAAAAAATGCACTACAGAAATAAACATCTAAAGGTTTTTTTTTATTAAACTAGACATCTAACACTTACGAACGTTGGTCATTCATAAACTTATCTGTTTAAAATCACAATGTAAACTGAAAAAAAGTTTTTTCTGCACATTGCGTGAGCGTCTAAAGTATTTTATGTCGGCTCTCCATCTACTTTCAATATTTAAAAAAAAAATAATAAAAAAACGTTTTAATAACAAGCTTTTATGAAATGATGCACTAAAAAGTAGAAAAAAATTACACACTACTATTTAAATAACTATAAAGAAAAGCGTGGGTCACTTAAGTGCCTATTGGATACCTTTACTAATATTTGAGAAGAGAACCACGCTTTTTTTAAATAGTTATTTAAATAGTAGTGTATAATTTATTTTCTACTTTTTAGTGCATTATTACAGAAAAGCTTGTTATTAAAAACGTTTTTTTTTAAAACAATTTCAGTACTTTACATGTTTTATTTACAATAGTTACATGACTATAAACCATTGTCAAGTTTATAGCTGAAGTTTCAGTAAAGTATTATGGGATGGCGCCGTCTAGTAATAAAGAACTAGACTGCTGACCCGACTAAAAACCATCACGGGCCTATTGAACGTGATGACGCGTTATTGACGTAGAGCCCCCCCCCCCCCTCGCACCACGCCCAACACGGCCGTGATGACGCGTGTGGATAGAACTGCCTACTAATTCGGTCCAAATTTTAATTAATTCATAAAAAATTAATTAGGCGACCAATTGAGTCAAATTGAATGTCACGATGCATTGTCTTCATGTCTTAAAAAACAAACAGCCATGGTCGTAAAGAGTGAATGTTGAAAAGAGACATGCTAACAGTAGAATACACCAAACATCTAAGCCGATGAAACTGAAATATCTAACTAACATGGCCACATGTTGAGTACTTCATATGTTTAGTAGTTTGCACACCACACTGCCTGCACCAATCCGCACAGATTTATCCAGGAAGTTGCTTGTTTTCGCATGTACGATGTACACATTTACATCCAGATTATATAAAAAAATAAGAAAAGAAACTTAAAATGCCTTTGACAAGAAAACATCCTTGTAAGGGGAATTATAAAAACACAACAGAAGGTATAAACCACTGGTACAACTTACCAAACGATGTGATGGAAAATATATTCAAATATTTTCCTCAAAAGGATATGTTTCGACTAGCGACCGTGTGCCAGTCTTGGCGGAATATGATCTACACAACGCCACACTTTTGGCGAAACATGCATTTGAAGCTCAGCTGTAATTCCAAATCTCTGCAAAACAAAAAAACATTTTGGTTGGCAACCAAAGTGGGAGGTTTCATCAGGGAGCTGCGAATCACATGTGATCATCAGCATGCGAGTATTGGGTGCAAGTGCATGGCGAATCATTTTCGCAAAGTTTTGATTATCCTACAACCTACATCTCTGACGTCTATAAAAGTATTAAACCTGGAATTAAAAGGCGCTATGTTGTCTACCGTTTCCAATATCAGTCAGGTTATGACCCGCATGCTGTCCAGCCTTGACCGTCTGCATTGTTTCCAAATGTCGTCTGCGCAGTGGCCGCTTAAAGAAGGCGTCAAGGTCATGGACACCGTCTTGACCGTGTCAAGAGGAACCCTACAGTCTCTGGTCATCGACGGATTCTTTGATACGACCGCGGCGACCAAGAGACCGGCTGAGTTTGAGCGAGTGACCAACGGCATCCTTTCTCTCAACCGCCTGACTAAACTAGGCATCGACTACCAGCTCTTGACTGACAGTTTTGTGACAGCGCTGTCCAGGTCACACACAGGACAGCTGAAGGTACTGAAAATCGTGGCAAGCAAATTGGAAGAGAACACGCCCCTGATAAAAGAACGGGCCTGGCTGTGTTTGGTGAGTAGTTAAACTTAGTTGCAAGTCCACAGATGTACAGGATTGTTTAAACTTAGTTGCAAGTCGACAGATGTATAGGATTGTTTGAACTTAGTTGCAAGTCGACAGAGCGATATCATTGTTTGAACTTAGTTGCAAGTCGATAGAGTGATAGCATTGTTTGAACTTAGTTGCAAGTCGATTTCTGAGCTATAGCATTGTTTACTTTTAACCGAATAATAGAGCAATTTATAATCCACCACATTAGGGTTAAAAAATGGGATAATCTGATTTTTAAGCTTTCTATTTAATTTATAAATATCATCAGACTAATTAGTGGAGAGTACTTAGCAGAGTTAATACCCAAAATTAAAATACAGCGGGAAGTTGCTAACCTTTAATTTTTTTCAATGAAACGGTATTGCGTCTATCATATAAACCCCATTTACTTATAAAAATACCAACATTTCTAACTAGATCACAATCTTGTTTTAGGTAAAGTAAAAAAAAAAAATACTTTTTAGACCTACCGATCCATAGGGCAGATGAAGTAGAGTTCATATGTTTCTTGACCTCGGCTAGGGAAAGTGTGGTCAGCACTATGATCAGCCGCCTTTACTTTCCTTAACGTGAGTTAGGTACCCATCACAGCTTGGTTGGCTTGAACCCGGATTTGAACTCGAGACTTTCGGGTTAGCAGCCTAGCGCTCTAAAGCGGTTAGAGTACACATCCTAAAAATCACCCCCCCCCCCCCCCACACACACACGCCGTACGATCTTGTTTTATGGAAGTAATTATCAAAAAGGTTTTTTATATCTTTGCTTACAACTCCAGACAAAGGCTTGTCCTGAAATGAAGGTGGCCTTCACCATCGATGGCATACATTCATTCGAGGCGATATATAACGCTTTGGATCCAGACTTGCCCATCAAGAAAATACGTCTGAGGCATACACCAAAGCGTCGAACTGGAAACTGGTATTTGTCCACGATGGTAGCGATCTCTGTGATCATAAAAAATCGTTATAGGTAAGTGTTTATACGTGTTTGGTTATGCGTTATTTGTAGGTATTTCTGCGTGTATATTACGATGTTGCTTTGTAAGCCATGCTGCACAATTATGCTGCTTTTTAGACATGTGACAATTGTTGACTCGACGGTCTATACGCCACAAATGCATTCAAGCGATCAGAGGCGTAGCGGCCCTTCCCGGCGCCCGGGGACAAACTTGTCGATTTGCATCCCCCCCCTCGAGATTTTGATTTGCACCCCCCCCCCCCTTAAACTTTCGATTTGCACCCCCCCCTCGAGATTTTCATTTGCACCCCCCACCTCAAACTTTCGATTTGCACCCCCCCCCCTCGAGATTTTCATTTGCACCCCCCCCCTCAAACTTTCAATTTGCTACCCCCCTCAACCTTTCAATCTATTTTTCCAACCCATTTTGGCGCCCCCTAAGCTCGGCGCCCGGGGACATATGTCCCCCCCCCCCCTCGCTACGCTACTATAAGTGATTCTACACTCGGTATATTAAAAAAAAAATTACAGCAGTCAGTACCAAGACAGACAGCAACCAATCTAAGAAAAAAAAATACGAAGTTCAACGCGAGTGGAGCCCCTTAGGATTTCCAACCCTCGTTTCCTTTCGGTAGCTGCTACGACATTATTATTAAATCCAAGCTGTACAGGTAATTCCGTCACATGGGTCCATCAGCTGTGTGGAGAGGGTGGGTCTGATACATGTGCAACACCTGGGTCGACTTATTTTAGGGCCCAGGTTTTCTGCTTGGATTTTTAAAGGGCAATCATCTAATGGTCTATGGAGCCATAAAACAGATCTGGATAGACGCAGGAACATCTATCGCTGGCCGAATTGCTATACTGCAGACCAGATGCTTAGGTCGATGACTCTGGCTCTATCTAATAATGCCGTTGTTGTATAAGGATACTTGATATTGTTCCCCATATCAGGCACGGTAAAATAATACAGTTGGAACAGGAGACCTTCATGGTTGTTGTTCTTTATGTTTTCAATCAAAGAGATGTTCTTCTGAGCTTGGCTATACACGAACCGTTTTAGTTGAAGGAGAGATAGAATCTCAGACTTTTTTGTTGTTATACCTAATACCTATCCCCCCCCTGATATTTCTACGGAATAATGAGACCGAATCGCGTGAGCTAACAAATTATGCCCCCATGTACTAACAGCACTGGACACTGGTCAGCATAAAGGCTAGTACTGTCAAGTCAAAGCTGTCTGTTTTTTAAACCGGTCATCTCTTGTCCCTCTATGGTGTACCCTGTAATTATATGCAGTAAATTGCTACTTGTAGAATTATATACGCTACAATTTAATAAGTTCTTGAGTATGTTCTTTCAGACTTTCTTGCTAGGATATCGCGGTCAATTCGGTGGGATTTCAATCTCTCCGGACATTGGCCAAGCGAGTAGGTCAATGCGAGAACTGGTGGGCCATTGCGAACATTGGCCACACTTGGCTTTGGCCGCAGTATATATATATATATATATATATATATATATATATATATATATATATATATATATATATATATATATATATATATATATGAGTCAGCTTTTGCTTTACGTAGATTGAGATTAGATAATTTAAAACACATTATCAGATAACATTGTTTAAGATTACGACGACTCCTAACCCATCCTCACTTTAATAACTTAATAGTTAAAATAGACAATGCTCACAATACATTTAATGATGTAGGCTTCGTTAGGTGTTTAACTATAACAATTTTCAATTTGTGGTAAGGGAAACAACTTATCTTTTTTGAAACCGGATTATCTACAGGCACTTGGTCAAATTTGATTTGGACATAAAATGTAAACACATGCTGATAGATACAGTTTTGCTACTCCTCGTCAAGGAATGTAAAGAACTGCTGTATGTAAAAGTAAGTTGGAGATTATAAAAATCATTACAAATCTCTCCACACTATTGGCACATAATCCTTCCCAAACATCCGAAATGAACACCACATAATATTGAAACTAACCACTTGTTTTATACACGTAAATAAACATCCTCAAAGCTTAGTATTGAGAGTCCTTACTATAAAAATCTAAAACAACCAAAGTGAAGAACCAAACAAGGAAAAACAACACTTAGCCCATAACTCAAAAACAAACAAAAATACACTAAAGATTTTTTAAAATCTCAGATTTAAATGTTTGACTTTTATACTATTAACTAGCAATCGGTACCCGTAACATGTGAATTATAGGCCTATATATTTTAATGTTATACTTGTATGAAGAAATATTTTATAAAAAAGTTGTTGGTCAAAACGCAATGTGCTTTACTACACGTTGAACAATATTAGTGACAAAGCAAAGAAGTAACTAAATAGCTACAAATCCGACATTATTAAAAATAACATAGGCTTCCAATATCTATAAGAAAAAAACAAACAAATTACATACATTATTAGTCAACACACATCACACCATTTTAAATGCACACACTGATTATGAGACTTAAATGATTCTGTTAAAACCCGGCTGTTCAAATGTATTTATGCTGTCTTTTAAAGTAATAATTAATTAGAATTACTTTTGGCCGAGAAAATTGTATACATTTCATACCGTACCTCCTGATAAGTAGGTATATAGATCTATATCAAATATTAATATAATAGTTCATTTCTTCATATTCTAAAATTGGAAGACAACGCCATTAGTTTTGTGTACTTTCCGTAGTTTAAACATGTGGCATGTGACGCTTTGTTTTTAGAGTTATTGTCAACACCATACACACTTTTCCGGCTGCTTAAATAAAAGTGTTCCTCCATTCGAATATGCCTTTACATTTATTTCCCTTTTTTAGCTAGAATTTAGTTTATTCATTACAACATCCAACATGTTATTTTCAACAAAAGCCCGTATCTTTAAGTTCTCCATATATAGCTATACATACTGATCACATAAGCTCAAAAATATTGCGGATAGAGAGAGAGAGAGAGAGAGAGACATAAAGAGAGAGAGAGAGAGAGAGAGGTGTGCACATGTGCTTCTATATATTAGGATAAATACATAAATATAATTATATAGTTAAACAAAAACAACTAACAAAGCCATATATTAATACTTAATAACTTGAATACAATATATTTAATTTGTTACAAAATAGACAATTATATATATATATACGAGCCGACCAGCGGCGTATCATACACCACTATTTAGTTGTTTATTTTCTACTTTTCAGTCATTCATAATGTGTGAATTCGACAGTATCAACGCTGCCACTGAAAATATTTGCTTTAAAACACTATCAGTAGACCGTTAAGGACGATACCCCCCACCCTCCTTTCCCCCAACCCCAACCCCTACCCCACACCCCCCACCCCCGTGAAAGCAGCCTCCTCTTAGCTACCTCCCCTAAATATAAAATCATTTCAAATTATCTGCCCCTAATAGCCGTCACTAAACCCGGCTCTACGATTGTAAACATTTAGCGTGAACCACAGCTCACCAGACTACCTAGAGAGGAAGAGAGGGGACTGCAAGGCGCACTTACAGCTTGTTTTCTAACGTCTCCAAGAATAGTATTATATATATAGATATATATATATGACTATAATTTTTTTACGAATAACGATGTTTATCCTCATAGCTAGGGACAGCCACTCTTCTAGGAGAGACAACTCCAAAATCAAACAACTGCTGCCTTGTAGTTTGTTCTTGGTTGGACAAAGGCTATTGAAGCAAATCCTAAAAGAAAAGCAGGCTGAAATCGGAGCCAATGGCCACAATGGCGCATAACCAGTTGACACGTAATCCTTAACTGTGATGGAGGCGTGATCGAGTCGGCAAAAGCTCATGGTTGATAAATTCGAAAAAGTCTCGAGTTCAACCCCCCTGGTAGATAAGGCTCGATCCCTTCCAACACTAACAATTAAGAACGAAGAAAAAGATCCTCATAAAGAAGTGAATTTTGTAATCTCTAAATGCTTATTCCCATACATTTACTCGTTGCAATATTGAATATTTCAGACAACAGCAGACCTATATTACAGTAATACCATGATGGTGGTAGATAGAGTACTACAACAGCGAAAACGCCAGTGCCCAGAATTGCCGCGCAAACGCGCGAGAACTAACCGGCTGCTGTGAGCAGCTTCGAATAAAAAAAGGCAGAGTGCTGTGGATGAGACCAGGGCGGTTGGTCTTAATTAAAACGTTTATTGATTTATTTGTGTACATATAAATTAGGATACTTAAAGAAATATATTTGAAAGTATTAGGGACTTTTTTGAAAATATGGTTGAAATGACAACGGCGGCCAACTTTAAAAAAAAAAACAACCAATTTGTGGATTTCTAAAATTTCATAAACTAATATATATATATATATATATATATATATATATATATATATATATATATATATATATATATATATATCGGTTATATAACCATTGATACTTCTTTTACTAACACTAATAGTCAGCTGGCTAGTTTTTGTAATAGAAAACACTCTAAACAATTTTTTAAAATTTTTAAATTTGGTGTGGCTAAATTTAATGGAATTTCGCCATTAAAAAAGATTGAAAATTTGAAAAAAAAAACTTCTAGCCGATTTTCTGTTACACAAATTAGCCAGCTGGCTCTATTAGTGTTAGTACAAGAAGGATCAATGATTATATTGGCTGTTTATATGTTACTTTATGAAATTTTAGAACGCCACAAAAGGTAGTCTTTCCAAAATGGCCGCCGTAGCCATGGCGAACATACTTTCAAAATAGTCCCTGATGCTTGCAAATATTTTCACTTAAGTACCCTAACTTATACATACACAAATAAATACAAAAAAAATATTAATTAAAACGTTTTTTCCCTTGTTTTTTTTCCGGAACCTACCCCCTTAAATATAGTTTAACTACAATTGAGTGGTTTGATTTACATTTACCATTCTGTTGTGTCCAGAAATGGAAAAGATTGTATATAGGTTGAAATGAAAATATATAAAAGCTTTTTAAATATACCATCATTATTATTATTGTTTAAAATGGGAACAGGGCATTACCCCCCCCCCCCCCCGAGTAATTACCTCCCTGTCAATTACCCCCCGCCCAGTAGGATATTACCCACCGGTCATAGCTTAAGGTTCAGCTAGGGTTAGAGCTAGGGTTTGTTTTTGGGCTAAGCCTAGGTCTAGGGTTAGCGCTAGGATTAGGGTTAGGGTAAGAGTTAGGGCTAGGGCTAGGGTGGCCAAGGTGGCTAGGGTTAGGGTTAGGGATAGGGGTAGGGGTAGGGGTAGGGGTAGGGGTAGGGGTAGTGGTAGTGGTAGTGGTAGTGGTAGTGGTAGGGGTAGGGTTAGGGCTAGGGCTAGGGTTAGGGTTCGGATCAGGGTTAGGCTTATGTGATCAGTATGTGTAGCGATAAGCTTAAATCAAAGTTGCGTTTTTTTTTTTTGGGTTTATTTTAAGGTGAGGTGAATTCTTAGGTGTTTAGTCTTTTTCTTAAGGTTAGTATTAAAGTAAAATATAGATATAGAGTTGTAGTTAGAATTAGGATTCTATGTTGGTGGATGGCGGGTGGGGGTAATGGACAGGTGGTAATTGCTCCGGGGGGGGGGGGGGGGGGGGGGGGTAAATACGCGGGGGGGGGGTAAATGTCCGTTGGGGGGTAATGTCCTGTAGCTGTTTAAAATATATATTCTTTAATTTAGTAAAGCAATCATTGTTTTGTGAAATCTGTTTAAGTGAACTTTTGAAATGCTTTATAAAAATATCAAATATTACATCTATTTTGATACCTTGAACTAACCATCTTTAATGAATGAAATAAAAAAATTACATCAATTTGATTGTTAGATTCTTACATTCATTAATGTTACATACATTGCTGTATAGCCTACGAGTGGATATTTATTCTGTTAATCGCCTTGCAAAATATACGTAATGCGCTGAAACATTCTATGAAATAATAACAATATCCATGACTGTGGATTCACTAGGTGTATCATATTCCTAAATGTATCAGTAACCACCCTCGATCCATTTAAGAAAAAGGTGCCAAGGAATTTGTCAACATGACAAAAGCGAACACAATCCTAATACACCCAGGAAAATAAGGTTAATATTCATTGCTACATATAAAAAACGCCAACATCTTCCATCCACTTCATTACATATTACTGTAGAAAATAAAATCAATGAACAAGTTATCGGCTACAAACGCTTAGAGTTATTTATCAATCAGAATTCAATTCAACCTTGGCTTATCATGTTGATTAATCTTCTAAGATTATCCATACTAAAACTGTTTTTCAAACTAAACGATTGTGTGTTAACTTTAAAGTGAAAGTTGATTTTTAACGGACCTATTTTTGCTGTCTTGGATAGAATATTTTTTTATAGTCTGGAGTGTCAGCTTCATAACCAACCAAGATATTCTTTCAACAATACGAAACAGCTATAGGGGTTGTAAGGGTCTACGACAAAAACTTTACAAAATGATTTGCACCCCCCTCAAATTTTTCTCTATATTTTTTACCATTTTTTGCCTTGGTGTCACCCCCCCCCCTAAATGGTGTTACCCGGTGCGGTCCGCACCCACCGCCCCCCCCCCCCTCGCTACGCCTCTGTTTAGGAGTCACGACTGCGTAGGTCAACTATTAATTTTTAACAGCTTTAACCTACTTTTCTAAGTCGACCTTTATCCACGTAGGTCCTGAGTTTAAAAGTGAAAGTTATACCTGCAATTCACAGAAATCTAAAAATAGACATTACACCTATTATGAATTGTAAATATGAAAATACTAGTAGGGTGGGGAACGTGCATAAATGACGTCACACATTTAGGAGGGAGGGGGTCGAAAGTTTGTGATGATGTGTGACGAAGAAGAGGGAGGTTCAGATTAGTAATGTCACACTTTTGCATATTAAAAGTAAGTAATGTAACCATCTGAATTGTTGACATTATTTCGCGAAAATTGTTTTTGTAAGTTGTAATAGAAATCGGTTACAATACTTCATGTTGACTGAGCTATGTCATAATTTTAGAAAGAAATCGATGTTTAAAGGAACTAATCTGCAATTTTAAAGGGAGTTGCAGACAGAGGTGTGACGTCATTATAAGAGGTGCTGGCTTTCTGTGACAATGTTTGACGGTGTGGTGGTGGGGGTGGGGGAGGGAGGTAGAAATCGACAAAAACCGCTTGTCGTCATTTATGAATGACCCTTATAATAAAATCAACGGTGGCATATATATTTTGTCATGAAATCGCCCTCACTTAATGATCATACACCTAGTAATAGTATGCTAAGCTTTGTATTGATTTTCAACTTTATTTTGCACCGGTAGACAAGAACTTGTCATTATTTATGCACGATTTTAGAAAACGAAAATCGCTACATCTTACCAATTTATTATCAGAAATTTCTTTACTATACTGGAATAATAATGTATTATTTTTCAAATATTACTTTGATCAATATATATTTGTACCCGCCGGTTGTATTTCAAAACGTCAAAAGTTTTGACAGTCTCGTTTTTAAAAAAAAAAAATGACACACGGTAGTTTATTCTGAAAAATAAATAAACGGCAAAACGTTTACATATAGAGCTAGTTTTATTTAAACCTGAACTATTATTATATCATTGATTAAACTAACATTAAACATTTCATTATATAATTTACACACAAAAGTTAAATAAATAAAATCCAAATATAAAAATGTAAAGACAGCTAAAACACTAAACATACATACAATGTATTATGGCAAATGAAAACAGAAACAGCATGTCATTCTAAAAATTAATCTACACTTCACCTGCCATTCCTAAATATATGTATATATATATATATATATATATATATATATATATATATATATATATATATATATATATATATATATATATATATATATGTGTGTGTGTGTGTGTATTTATATATACATACATATATAATCACAAACACGATCGCGACCACAATCATAATCATAATTGTAATCAAACATTGTATTTTAATAAAAATACTTTTTTCATTTAAGTTATTACTTTCGTAATAAAACATCAGACAAAGCAGTCACAAGACAAGAAACCCATTATAGCGATAAATCAAGATTTTAGTGATTTTCTGCTGAGCATACCCCCCTTAAACAATAGAAAATAAACAGACAAAGTACGAAAATCAACACAAAAATATACATTGCGCTAAAACTATTACTATTTTTAAAAAGAAGATGAGTGCTCGTAGTTCTTACATTTAGTGTAGTAAAAATGTCGTAACAATTAAAATTAAACGTATTTGCAGGTTTGCCAGAATAGCAAAATATTTTTTGCAATAGTTATAATAACACAAAGTTGTAATTTTAATTAACATTACTCCTATAAATTGCCAATCCAATCACTATTAAAGTGATGATAAATTTATACGTGTGGGCAGACGCTAAATCTTGTTCAAATGAATTCATCCTTTCAAAAGGTTGACCTTTCAGTATCCCAACAAAACTAAACACGTTCATAAAAACAAGAGCAATTTTACACCACTGAACATTAGCCACCGGGTCTTTATTGTTGTAATATGTAACAATCAAGCTAAAGGCATTTTGAAAAATGTCGATGTACTCGTGAGCCAATGAGAGGTTCCCCCTACCCTCAAAATGGCAGCAGTGATTAAAAATATCAAAAAGCCGAATAAAACCTCCAAGGATAGTGAATACTAAAACAGCAGTATAAGTATTTCCGACCACTTCATGTTTATTTGTTGATCCAAGGTGACTATAAAAAGCGCAATCACATACAAAATTTAATACAGCAGTCACAACACCAATCACTGTCTGGAAGTCTTTATGCTTTCTTCTATATTGCGAATAGTGTGAAATTGTAGTTTCATTGTTGATTGTGCCCTGAAAATAGTTTATATATATATATATATATATATATATATATATATATATATATATATATATATATATATATATATATATATATATATATATATATATATATATATATATATCCCTACACAACTAAATTCCAATATATCACTTACCATGTTAGCAAATGTGACATCCATAATGAGCAGCTAATTCATGTAAAACAGTCTGTAGACAAAGTTACATATGATATAATAAATAAAACGAGTAAAAACAAAAAAAAATGCTTTATTATATATTGAATACCTAAACTAGAATTTAGGAAGAGACCCACATTTTTCTTTATAGTTAATAATTGTATAAACGCTTGTTATTAAAACTTTTTATGAATTTTCTTTTCAGTACTTTACAATAAATTATTTTTAATACAATAGTTCCATGACTAAAAACTATTGCGCACCAGATGAAAATGAGAAAAATGCGCATATACGAAAATTTTAATAAATTCATAAAAAAATTAACTAGGCATCAAATTAAGTCAAATTTGATGTCTGATTACAACGAATCGGTTGGTTAGAAGTGATTGAAATTTCGCTCCATGAAACCCGGGGGATTTAATTGAACACAGGTAAAGAACCGCTCCACTAGAAACTAGAATATACACCTCAACACAACACAAAACACGATACTGTTGACAACACAACTCTTCAAGCGATCCAGTCAAGTCACATTCACCAGTTTACGCATAACCAGAGGCGTAGCGACCCTTCCCGGCGCCCGGGGACAAACTTTTCGTTTTGCACCCCCCCCCCCTCGAGATTTTGATTTGCACCCGCCCCTCAAACTTTAGATTTGCACCCCCCCCCCCTCGAGATTTTGATTTGCACTCCACCCCTCAAACTTTCGATTTGCACCCCCCCCCCTCGAGATTTTGATTTGCACCCCCCCCCCCCTCAAACTTTCAATTTGCACCCCCCTCAACCTTTCAATTTATTTTTCCAACCCATTTTGGCGCCCCCTAAGCTCGGCGCCCGGGGACATATGTCCCCCCCGCCCCCCCCCCCCCCCTCGCTACGCTACTGCGCATAACTCCAGTCTACTACACACCCGCCAGGGGAGGACACTCTATTTTACACAGTGTCTGCATTTTAAATCGACCATCGTCACAAGGAGAAATGTATTTATAAATAGTAGGAAACAGGAGGGGGTGGGGTGGGTTAGACCAGGGGTCGGCAACCTGCGGCTCGCGAGCCGCATGCTGCTCTTTTGATGTCAAGATGCGGCTCTCCAGCTACTTGCACAAATACTAATAATCTTAATAAAAAAATAAAATACTTGTAATAAAAAAATGTTAGTGGCTCTTTAAAACCAGGGAAATTTTGAAAATTGTAACTTTTGGCTCTTCCGCTTCGAAAGGTTGCCGACCCCTGGGTTAGACTATTTTAATTCACCTTTTGAACATCCCTGTCAACCTTACAAAGTAAAAATAAAACTTCAACTTATATACACATAAATAAAACAAATACAATCACGTCTAGATTTATAAAAGAACGTCCTAAAAAATGTAATGCTAAATTGATATAACACGACGCGTATTAGATCGATGTGCTTGCCTAAAAATAACTAAACGAGTTTACAAAATCAATATTACATATATATATATATATATATATATATATATATATATATATATATATATATATATATATATATATATATATATATATATTCAATTAATTTCAGTTTAGCAATGTGAAATGCATAAGCCTACATATTTTTCTTTGCAGTCAAATGAAGTAAAAGTCACAATCAGCCTTTTTAGACGAATGACTTCTTAGTTGGCCTGTGATCAAATCGCAAAAATCGATAAGCTATGTACATAGCTTACATTAAGTATGAATAACCAAAACTGTGGTTAGAGGTGAAACTAAGGTTAGTAGCTTAAAATAGACATTGTTTACAGGAAATTTCTAAACAAAACTAGAAAAAGCGTCCGCCTATTTTGTTTTTTCTGTTAATTTAAACATGAAAATAAAATTACTGTAAACATAAAGATGCAGCAGAATTGATTGATTAAAATATCCATATTTTATATAATATGCGATAAAGTAATTTTTATGAATTATATAGGCCTTCTTGAAAACATAGAAAGTGAAACAAAAACCTTAGTAAAAAAATTGAAAACTAGTCCAGCTTAACAAACTTTTTTGAGTTCTTACCCGTGAAGAAGTAAAAATTAATTTCTTATAGAAAAGGAAAAATGTATATTTATATGCTACTGAATGTCTTAAAAAAATGACCAATAAGACAATTAAAAATAAACCAAAGCACGCCTTGAAAATCCGTGCGCCAGTATCAACCTAGCCAAGAAGTAGTTTTTACCTTCTGCGACTGTGAAGATTCTATTTCGTTTAGTCTGGTTTAACGGGACAACGATAAACGTAATCATGCTAAATATAGCGGCATGGCGCGTGTATTTTTAGCGCTTAGATATTTTGTTACACTTCTTAAAATTGATTGAAATGTGAAATGTCACTAGCTTGATACCCGTGTGCCTAATAGCAAGATTGCGACTAAAAATGACAAATACCAGGATATTATATTAATAATTTTAATGATTCAAAAATAAAAATAAAATATTTTTTATAATAATCATTAAGGTAATATTGAAAGTAAAATTAAATACACAAGAAATAATAAAAAGTGATGTTTTTAGTTTTAGCTTTCAGTTGTTAAATGCACTTCATTTTATTTATTATGTGTTTTATAATGCTGAAACTTTTTTTTTCTAAAACACACAATTAAGAACACATATACGATACATTTTACCCCTAAACTTTACCCTATTTCTGATTTCTTAAAAAACACATTTAGCCTACATTAACTTGATTGATCTGTCTAGCGACCGTAATAGTGGGAAACTTGTGAGCGAAATTTTGAACACTTCTAGGGAACCGAATTGTTTTAAATTTTTCACGTAGCTTAAGACTCGAAGACAAAGTATTGTGGCATAAAATGTTACTTAATTAGAAGATAAATTAACTCTTTGATAATGAATCACGGTTTTCTTTAAAAAGTAGGCCCTACCACTATTCTGCACTACTTTACACACATCGTTTGCTGTTCATTGGTGCGCAATTCTTTTTTCTAGAAGATTCTATTCTATTTGTTGTTTAAAGCGGGAGTGATTTCCCCTAAATTTTCTCGAATATTCTTATACAACCTTACGGGGGATGGCAACTTGGGACATATAAATGATTTTTAACCCATTTTTAATTACTTAAACGTTTAAACTATTTTTATTGAAAGATATTATGTACTGGATCAAAAAAGTTTCTTAAGAGAGATTGATCATCATTATTGTTGTTGGTTATTCATGATAATTGGTAGCATCTTTTCCCAAAATACCACCACCATTCTAAAAATAACAGAGAGCAAGTAATTAGTAATATTACTAACGGAAAAGTCGGCTGCTTGTAGGATAATATTTTTAAATTATTTTATGAAGGTTTATTAAAGCGTATATCGTATTCTTAGGATCGCTACTACTTTTGTTTATTTTTTTTATTCTAGCCGATTCCAACTGTAAGGGTAATAATAGGAGAAAGAGTTAAAACAGCCACAGGGATTTAGATTACAGATTAAGTAGTAAGCTATTGTAGAAAGTATTAATTTTATGTCATGGAAAGTTATGGAATGATGGATCAGTATGAGTATTACAGAGACACTTCTCCCACGGTCGTTTCAATTTCTGTCCATGGGTGGCTACAATGTGAACTTTTGACTCCGCAGCTAAGGACGGAGCACAGTAAACTAAGCAGTCAAGAGAAACATAGTTTGCACACCTTATTTTAGTGCAGTTCTAATGCCATTTTATTATCTCCCTTATATTATTATATATGCAATTGATGTTCATGTCTTTGATGCTGTGTAAAACTATCAAATAAATTATTATTACTGATTTAAATGTTTAAAACAATTGAATTAATAAAAATAAAGAAAGTATTTATGGCATTAATAATAATTATTTTATTTAATACATCTGTGTTTCAGTTACAGGTAAAGGTACAATAATCAGGTAGTGTGTCTACTACTCAAGCTGAATGTTTTACTTTTATGCTTTTAGAGACCAACAACATGTGTCCAAATATCTTGGTAGCTTGTACTTCTATTCTGCAGATTTGTAGAAGGTTACAGTTACCAGTGAATTTTTATTATTTTTAACGTGTTCTAATTGTAAATCCTGCTGTAATAGTACCTTATGTTTATCAAACGTTTTTATATTTTACAAAATATCTTTGAATATTTAAACAATTTTATTTTAAAATACATCTTAATCATTAGTATGCGAAGTCAATTTTTATTTGTAAAAAAAAACAACGCATCTAAATCTATTTTATAATTCAAGTAAAGAGGAAGTGTTTACAAAACGTGTTTAATATTATACCTAAAATGAAAGTAATAAGTAACACATTTGGCATATTTGGGTATTGCTAATTATACGAAACAGATGCTTAAAATAGTACAAGATAATAAATACAAACGGTAGCTGCAGTGAGATTAATTTAATTAGTAATAAAATAGATAGTGTTAGATTAGAGTAACACTATCTGTTTCACTACTAATTAAAATAGTACATTGATTTTGCTGAATTGGTTGAATGGATACTCAATATAGAGTCAGGGTCCTCTATGTTAGATTGTAAACACTTGAGAGCAGTGTGGATTCTGTCTTTTCTGACAACATTATTACGAAAAATGGGGTGGGAGGGGGGGGGGGGGAAGAGAAGTCTAATAAAAAGTATAAAGTTACTCTGTTTCATGTTTAAAAAATTCTAAATTAACTTTAGCAGTTCTTTCGCATTTTTAAGACTTGTGTATAAATGGTTATGAGATAAATCAAATGATCACTACGATCAGGTCGTATCTTCAAAATCAATCACTTTTTGAAATTTTGTTTTAAGTAAGTGCAATTTGAGAAGGGGGAGGGTGGTGTAAGTTGAAATGTGATTTCATTTTGGACTGGAAGGTGGTCGGGCCTTTGGGGCTGACACTGTATATCGAATGGGAGAGAGGTGTGGACGAAAAAACGAAACGTGTCGTCATTTTTGTCAATTAACTCTTTTTGGTTCTGGCTAACCAAGAGCAGCTTGCCATAACCCATTTTCATTAAAAAAAAGTTCAGCGTTTGATTAGCTACATTTTTCACAGTGTGATATGCGTTTAGGTAAATAGTGAAAACAGAACAAAGATGTTTTATTTAAATGTAGTACAAAAACTGATACATCCCAAGGTTTCTTTTTATATTTTGATGTACAATTTAAGATTACAATAATATACTTAGTAAAAGATTAATAACAGAAGTTTTATAAAATGTTTTGAAAATAAAAAACACAACTGTAGTTAAAGCAAAAGAATAGGTAAAAATAATTTGTATTAGTTTAATTTCTAAATCCATATATAGCTAAAATAACAGCAACTACAATCTCTATAAACACACCAATTTTCATACAAATTTTGCTTCTTCGCGATTCCTTCTCACAACAGCCTTTAAAGAGAGTCGCTAGAAGGTAGACCAAATTTATCACAACCAGTACAATTTTAAACCACTGTATCGCAAACACAGGCTCTTTCAGTTTTATGGCAGCTGTTAGGCTTAAAATAATCTGGGGGACATCTTCTACCCACACACAAACAGTAGAGAGAAAGTCGCTATTCATACAATTAAAACAATGGTTGAACATCTCAACCACCCATGTCAACGTCCCAACCACACAGAAAAGTAAAATTAACCAAATAATGGGACCCCAGGGTCCTTTGTTAGAGGTATCGACGTCATGGAAGAATACCCAATCAAATACCAGGTCAGCTGTGGCGATAATTAAACCAATCAATACTTGACAGCGGGCAGCACATTTTGAAGTTGCAGGTCTTTTATTGCCATTTTCAAATGTCTAGGAAAGAGTTTAGCAAAATAAATCTACAACACAGCATTTGCATGTATATATATATATATATATATATATATATATATATATATATATATATATATATATATATATGTTATAAAGCAATGTATAAAACACGTCAAATAATTTTTTTACGTGTTAATGAAAAAATTCCTGTTCATCTGTGTCACTTTAGCGAATGACGAAATCTGCTTCATTGTTAACATGATGCTATTTGGCACTCTGGGTTATCCTATGAGCACGATGGCGCCTGTTAGTTTTCAGAAGCCAGGGGCCCTACGCTGCGCCTATGCGGTAGTGTAATCTGGGGTGGGGGGCTCCTAAGATCGCCCCTCTACGTCCCTGACACATTGGTGGTCACTGAAGTGTGTTCTACCTCATTATTTCGGTGAGTGATTAATGTACGCTCAAGGTTTTCATGCGGTTGTGTAGGTAAACCCGTGTTCCGCTATTTATGATCCAAGCGCCGGCATTGTTTACATTTAAATAACTCACTTTTTGAAAACAAGTTCACGAGTCTAAGAATATAGGATTGGTAACGCATGGATCAAACCAGTTTTATATATTTCGTCGGACTTTCTTCTATTCCCGCGGCAACGCGCTGGGACGGGTACACTAGTATACTATATTTTGTTAAAAATATCGTATAATATGTAACTTTGTTCATATGCGTAATTATAGGAACGAATTGCAACATATATCTTTTATGTTCAAATCATCATTCATTTTCACAGGCTTTTATTTAACTTTCTTACTAGTCTGTCGTCCGTTATGAATCGAAATGGCAAATGAAATTTCGACCATTTCTCAGAGACCGATTTCTCTGAAACTTTGGTCAAGACCCGATGACAATGTTATCTGACATCAACTTAGACTTATTTGGATGAATGATTAATTTTTAAAGAATTAATTACAATTTCCTGATTAAAATATTATTTACCGCGCAATTATACGCACATTTTTCGAGTTTATTTAGTGCGCAGTTGTTTTAGTCATGCAACTCTATTGTATTAAAAATTTAAAGTCCTGAAAAAAATGCATCAACGATGTTTAACATTCTTTTAATTAAAAATGCACAAAATAAACCGGGAGTGATCTCCCCAAAACTTTCTCGAATATTCTTATATAAAATAACAGGGGATGGGAACTCGGGCTATAGACATGATTTTTAATCCATTTTAAATACTTAAAGTTTTAAAAATAGAATAAAATCTCGTAGACAAATTAATTGCACACCAAGTGAACGCCAAATAAAAAAGCGCATAATAGTGCGCAATATTATTAGTACTTTTAAAATTTACATTAGTTTTTTTGAGAAATCGGAATTAGCGTAAAGTACTACTTCCAATCAACCGAAATTACTCAAAATTTAACAGAAGGTAGAGAATTAGATCTTTCACTTACATGTGAAATTTCATTTATCTATCTGAAATAGTACTCAAGTTATAGGCTTTTAAAAAATTCAAAGTAGGAAAAGTACCACTTCCGGTTATCGGAAATCGCTCAAAAGTTGATACGGATCTACGATTTTGATAAAATACTTATATATGAAATTTCATCAACCTAGCTGTAACGGTACTCAAGTTATCGTGTTTACACACGGACAGACACACAGACACACACACACACAGACATACGGACAAGATTGCAAAATTATGTTTTTCCGTATCAGTGAGGTGTAAACGTCGAGATTTGTAAAAATCTCGATTTTTTTTTGCACGATTAAAATACTTTCTCTATACTTCGTATATACGAGAAAGTAAAATGAACAAAAGAGGAGAAAATAAATAAATTCCTTTAAATATATAATAATAAACTACTATTTAAATAACTAAAAATAAAAGCGTTGTTTCCATCTTAAATTCTAATAGATGTATTCAATACATAATGTAGACAGCCACCCACGATTTTTAAAAATTATTTAAATAGTAGTTGAATATTATATATTCAAAGAACATTAAAAGTCTTCTTTTAAATGCATTTTTACCTAAAAGCTTGTTATTAAAACGGTTTTGCATATTTTTAAACGTTCCTGCTTTTTTAGGTTTTTATAATAATAGCTACGTAGTGTGTACTAGCTGTAATAATTAAACACTAACTAAAGATAAAAAGTATAAATTCAATATAACTTACAAGATCGATTTTTACATCTGAGTCTCGCATTTTAGTACTTTTAATATCAAGCTGGCAAGAGTTTGAAAAATGTACGTACTATATATATATATATATATATATATATATATATATATATATATATATATATATATATATATATATATATATTTGCGTGTGCGTAAACAGCGTACAAGTATGTTTGAGTATGCATGTATAATTATCCAATATATATTAAATGTATATATACATACATTTATACATATATACCTTTATATATATACCTATATATATATATATATATATATATATATATATATATATATATATATATATATATATATATATATTTATACCTATATATATATATATATATATATATATATATATATATATATATATATATATATATATATATATATATATGACATTTTACTTAATAGTAAAACCAAAAAAATGCTAAGTTAAACCTACTGCAATAAAATAAAGTGAACGTTCGATTCTCTAGGTCTGTAATGATGTCAGTCTAGCAGAGTTTATTTTATATAGTGACGCCGCGCACTTTCATTTTCGTTTTAGCGCTGGCAAAGGGCGATATAAGTCTTATTGAGTTTAAAAATAAACGTTAGCTATTCGATCTTTTCAAGGAGATATGAATTGAATATGTATGGTCTGGTTTTTTTTTAATTTTTGTATACACCTGGACGAATTATATGAATTGTGACCTGCTTGTTTTGACAACCATCGATATACAGGCTGGATTTGTATACTTATATATGTGATTTTCTTCCTTTTTTTGACCCGCGGCGAGATGTAGGTCGGGTCAGGTTTCTGTGTGGGCGCGTGGCGCACCGCACGCGTGGAGGTATTTGTTTTTTTTATACTTTATCTTTATGTGATTTGTATGAATGCGACTGCCGATGTGTTCTCGTTTTATTTCTTTTTCGTCTAAAACGAGATAGTGAGCATCGGCATGTCTGGTATGCACGTGGTGTGTTATTTTGAGAGATTTTAAATTTGTATTTTCTAAACCCTTGGCGTGTGTTTCGGACCACGTGGTTTAGGCCAGTGTGTTTAGGAGTGTTTCCTAAACTAGTGTGAATGCGTGTGTGCATTTACTTGATTGTTTTATGATGTGTTGTTATTGTGGGTTCCCCACGATGACTAGGATTGGCTTAGTCAATAGTCAGTTGGTTAGACAGTAATTAGATTAGTATATTTTAGTTGCCTCGAGTTTTAGGTTGTTTAAAATTAATGTGTGTGCTGTTTCGTGCAACGTCATGTTGAGTATCGCTTGCTTTGTGTCTGCCTTCATTGGGGCCTTAGCGGAGTGTGTTAACTTTAATGTTATCAATATGGATATTGTTTATGTAGACCAATGGCTTCGGGCTTCCTTGTGTAGGAAAGATTGGTTCTACGATGAATTTGTTTACACGTTATTTTTAAGTTGCTAGTTCTTTAGACAGTGGTTAGTTGTTTTTGAGAATTGCTTTTAGAATTGTATAGTAAGGATTAGTTTTACTCGAGGCTTTAGCTAGATAGAAGTAGTTGGTAGCATTTTGAACTTGTGTATATATTTATGTATATATCTGCCATTACCATGCATTTTTCTTATGTTTTCCTTTTCTTTTTCTCTTCCCCCCCCCCTTCCAGTGAGGTTGCTTGGGCAACTTGGCTGGGTGTTTTGTTATATATGAATTGTTTTGTTTGATGTAAAAAAGGTTGTTTTGTACGTAATGTCTTCTACGTAATGTATTGTACGTAGTGGTTGTACGTTGTGTTTTGTTTGGTGTGGACTTTTGGATGTCGAGAATGGATGAAGGGAGGTTTCTGTGTATCAGGGCCTGGACCATCCTAGACATCATAAGTCGGTGCAACACCAGCAAATGGTCGAACGTAATGTTTTGTTATATATGAATTGTTTTGTTTGATGTAAAAAGTTTGTTTCGTTTGGTTCTGTTTTGTGTCAGTTTTTATCTATTCTTTTTTTATAACTTTTGGTTCCATGCAATAAATTTTATTAAATTGTTAAAAGTTTTTGTTTTATTTTAGTAGCTTATTACTTAGACTAAGGTTAGGGTTTAACCACTGTGGGTTCTACCACGGTTGCAGATTAGTTAGTTAAGCCTAGAAGGGTAGATTTTAGGTATCCACCCCCTAGCAGGGCTTACATATATATATATATATATATATATATATATATATATATATATATATATATATATATATAAATGTTATTGATTTTAAGAGTTGTTGTAATAAAGATCGATATTTAATACTGTAAAACATTTTAAAACATGTTTATATTTTTGTAATATAATACATTTTTCAGTACAAAGTAATATTAGTATTTCTTAATATGACAATAAGATATTTAAACTTATTGCATTTGAAAATGAAATATCTGACAAAAGTAAATTCTAGATAAATCCATGTAATTTTTTAGAGTTAATATTATTGTCTCTTTTCTATTAAGTACTTTAAATATGTTATCGACGCCTTTAATAGCTTGACCTAAATCCTGGGCAGCATGTTAAAAAAGAGCCTCGTTTTGCCCACCCATCTGCCCCCCTCCCCTCCCCTATCTCCACAAAGATTCGACTTAATAAACTTGGTAAAAGCTTTGTCACTATCTCCTGTTTTATTATATTTCTCTCATACAAGTGTTGCTGTCCTCGGCTAATATACCTGTAACACATATGGTTACCAGCCAGGGGAGGGAAAAATATGAAGTTTTAATTCATTGAGTTGCGGCCCCTGTGGGGCTGTGGCCCTGTTGACGTAGTTGTTTTTTTCATGCTATTGTGAGCGATGTTACCTGTGTCCCATGTCATGTGACATGGGACTGTGGGTAGTTTCATGCCTAGCCGTGTGAGTCACACGCAAGGCTGTTGTCTGTGGACACGGTGACCAAGAAGTAGACCTAATGAAGGGCTATAGTTTTTCTTGGCTAGTTTGTTTTCTTGGTTTCCTGTTGCTTCAGTATTTTCTCTCGTCGTACTACTGTGTTATGCATCGCCGTCATGGCTCGATGCTGTGAATAAAGGAGTACCTGACAAAAACTGTCGGTGTCAGTGTGTTCGTAATCTCAGGGTCAGCCCGCCTTAACCACAACACCTCAGTGGGTAAAAGCATCCCCACTGAGTGAGGGTTACATACCTTTGTAACTTGGGAGCATGACGTTTTGGGTCAGCAACCATGCGTTCACGCCCAACCTCGCCGAGCTTGATATTACCCGCTAATACAATACAAACATGGATTAGTTTAACATAAAAGCTAAACCCGCGTTCAGATTGCTATTCGTTTTAATCAAGGGAAAGAACCTTGTAAATTTAAACGACGGAAATAAACTTTATTAACGCCCTTATAAATTGTATGTCCCGATACTTAATATTGACTATCTGAAAATATTGCTTTTTTTTTCTTTCCCGTGTAGTTATCGTTGCAATTGTTTTTAATTCTCATAATGAATCGTAAAGCACGATGTTGAAACGGATCGGACCGTCAACATTCTAGCATGTAAGCTGTAGAGTTTCTTCCAAGCATCTCGTCGTCTAATACCCCCCCCCCCCCCCCGAACGAAATAGAATTAATGTAGAAAATGCATAATTTTACCAGTGTCCGCCCTCCCCTCTCCGGATATTTTAAACACTCCCCCCCCCCCTCACCAAAAACTTCAAGTTTGTAAGTGTTAAGTTTGTCACCCCTCCACTCCCCTCTCCCCCCCCCTTAACCCCCCTCCCCCCACCCCCTGAGAAAAAAGTCTGGAAGAAACACCGGTGAGGTGTGATAAACGTGTATTATTATGTGTTTAAATGAAATAGGAAAACCGTGTATAGAATGGATTAATCTATCAACTGACAGTGTTAAGCTTACCATTTAGGACATTCTTAGTTACAAAAACAATACAAAATGATTACACATTTATAATAAGTAGCCCACCCGCATAATTTCCGGTAAATCACTCATTCTTTAAATTCTGTTTGGCCTCAGTTAAATGCTGATTTTATAACCGTAGGGTGGGTCAGGAAATTTGAAGACGTCTGGACAGGGTGTTTGCGTTATACATCACCTTCAGAGGTAATGAAACAGGTAAAATCTACTTTTTCTGCTCCAACAGACCGTCTGGCTTAACATGTAATACTTACTCAATAATATTCCCGTGTATTTCGTTATTTTTAGTTAAACGCTGATTATAGACAGTGCAAAAACTGTAATGTGTTCACAGTGCAATGCTTATTCCGTATAGGCTAAACATATACAAATGTGCTCCTAATATTTCAAAACAAATAAATTAAAAAACTGTCCAACTTCGCAATCCAAAGATACATACACATTATTGCATGTTATATATGAAGGTAACTGCTGTGTTTTGTTTAATTAGCTAAACTTCGAATCATTTTAACTCTGCCAATTGTTTTCAGACATTAGTCTTTGAAAATACGATTTATGTCACACATTTTTAGTATTCATCCTCTTTTTGTTATATTGGCTTTATTCAGCGATTTGATTATAAGTCAATACAATCAGTTATAGTGGGTAATATAAGTTTAAAAAAAACATTAATGTTACTATAAAAAAGGTCAGGTACGTTTAACTCCCTTCATCGTACAACAGTAGAGCTGCACTAATTACAACGCCAATCAATGAATTTAACCTTGATGGACCGACGCCATGATTCATTGATTAGTACCACGTGTCATTAGTTTATCGCTAATCACTTCTTACGCCTCGCTGTTTATTTAGCCTGTAATGATGCAGGCGGGCAAACAGTATACGTTGTACCCCATTGTTGGTACATTTGTATAGTTGTCACTGTGTTGGTACATTTGTATAATTGCTACAAATGGTCCTACTTTTGTAATTGTAACTGTGTTCGTACAACTGTATAGTTGCTACAAATGGTCCTACATTTGTAGTTGTCAACGTATTAGTGCATTTGTAAAGTTGCTACAATTTGTTCTATATTCGTAGATATAACTGTGATGGAAGCCTACATTTCCATAGTTGTTACACTATGCACTACATTTCTACTTGTAACTGTGTTGGTATATTTTTATTTTTGTTACAATTTGTTCTACATTCGTAGATAAAACTCTGGTGGTACATTTGTATACTCGATACAATCTGTGCTACATTTGTATTTGTAACTGAGTTCGTACATTGTATTCGATTTAAAAACAAAATTCGCTCTACTCCAGTTTACATTTACCCGTATTGTCTACAACTGAATTCACCTACACGAGGGAACTATTTTCAGACATCCTGATCATTGAAAATCGATTGGCCTATAAGCTCAACTTTCCTATCAATGAACTGTTGCTCGTGTTTTCTAGAAATTTACGTCAATAGCGAGAGTTTGCCAACCACCAACTAAACATACACACTGCGTCAACATTTACTCAAAAACATCAAATGAATTTTTTACCCCTTTTTTTCAACAGAATTTTTTAAAGTTACAAGTTAAATATTGCTATAGACTAAATCAAATACGGTAACTAAATAAAGAAATCATTATTTGGGGTAAAAGAGACTCAATATTTGTACTAACAGAAGTAAGTTTCAAAGCAATTCTAATCAATGTTTATATGTGATCAAGTCAGAAGAATGTACATGAGTCCATCGAGTTCTGGTGGGTACAGCA